GTAAGACACTAAAACCTTGTGTCATGTGCAGTAAAGGGTACCCATGCCGATAGGGTTAAATAATGCACCAAAGAACATAGACTGATAACATTAAAAATTAGACAATTTTCCCTAACTCTCAAAATTGTTCTGCCTTTCTAGCTATGTGACAAGAGCTGTTACAATTTCATCCAAGCTAGTTGTTAGCTTTCCCACGGGAACAGAGTTTGTACTCTGAGTGAAACTGACAATTATCTGTTCAGAACACAATGTTATGCAATATGCCATATGATAGATGAAAACCTTGGCTTTCTATTGGTTATAGATAATATATAATTATACAAACGAGATAATTATGAACAAATCCTGAAAGAGAGAATGTGACAGGTCATTGTAGCAGAGGGGTTCTGATTTTCTATTTGACAGCTCTGTAACCAAACAAAATTGAAGGCTATAAAAATTATGGTTTGTCTGAGGAATGATGATTTTATAGTGAGTAATTTATGTCTAATTTTGTACTTTTTGGAGGGGTGGTGGATAAAATAGAGAGGAGAAGGTGCCTAGATAAAATGTGTCATGTGTGTCACACAAAGGGAAATTCAGGATATTTTTTAATATTGCCTTTTAGAACTAAGAACTTAAAACTTATATATTATTAAAATATGAATTATTAGCTAAGATTTTATGCTATTTTAATTGTTATAACATAAACATAAAGTAGTTTAATAAAATTTTGAATGTAAGACACTAAAAACTTGTGTCATGTGCAGTAAAGGATACTCGTGGCAATAGGGTTAAAAGTGTGTATAAACAATTTTGAAAATTCTGAGTAAATATGAAATGTTTATCGGACCAAGCTATAAAGAGACAAAACACTGACTATGCTCTGAATATAGCATGTCTATAAAATCATTCACCAAAAACAAAGAAGATGAATTTAAGTCTCATCTAGCTGAATAATACTGTACTATTATTGCCTATGCACACAAAACTCAAAAATACTAAAAACAGGGAAGCATATTTGAAAAAACATACTTTTTAAATTTAACAAATAAATACATCTTTTAATTTACACTATATTCTTAATATCACAACTACTTCATTTCGAAATTGAAAGAAATTAACCAGAAAGGATGCAAAAAAAAACAACAAAAATACCTTTCTTTCCCTCTCCAATTTAATTGCTTCTAATGATTCTTTCACATGTTTTTCCAGGCACTCAGTAGAGCAAAAAATTCCTGGAATTGTTACTGGCTTCTTGCATTCTAAACATTTTGTCTCTGCTCTCATTTCTGGCTTCTTCTTTAAATCAGGTTTTTTAATTGGTAACTGAAATATAAAAAGTTACATGTACAAAGTGTATTTTTTAAACTAATTAAAAGTATTTTAGAGGTTTAGGAGATAAATTAAACTTAGAAAAAATAAAGAAAAACCTTGTGCTCTTAATTAATCCAATCTTCATATGGAAACACACACATAAAAGTAACTGAAACAAAAATGTATACTTAAAAACTGCTTCAGAATAAGAGTAAAATATTATTTTAATAGTTTTATGAGAATTCCAAAATCATGAGGTATTTGTTGAAATAATTGTTGCCAAAACACAATGTATTCTTTTTAATTTTTGTACAGTAGGCTACAAGTTACTCAAGTAAAAGCAACAAAAAGTAACTGAATTTACGAAGATATTCGAACTTTTGTAAACTGTTAAATCAGGGACTTCTTAGATTTTAAAGCTGCTACTTTTTTTTTTTTTTACTTAACGACTTAAAAGTTCATAACTGACATTATAGCATAATCCTTAATAATCCCAGTTTCAAATAATTATTAAATATGAAACAAAATTCTACAACAGTTTAAAGCACACACATACATAGTCGTACGTTAAATCATCAAGTATAAACTTCAATCAGTGGTTAGGAAATACAGAATAAGACATGAATTAATGGATATCATCACATCAGTTTACAAAAATTCCTCATATATTAAGTATTTTAGGTAAAACTACACTCAAATGTTCATGGTTTTGGTTTAGATAATCAATTACTTAAATAATTGTACACTTCTATTGCTAAAATTACAGATATTTATTTTATTTACCTTACAAAAACGTTTAGCATAACAACAAGTAATAAGTTGTGGACAGACTGTAGTATAACTTCAACTAATAAAGTAACTATGTATGTTCCTACATAGTGTTCAATGAGAAGGGGATAGAGAAATTATGCTCAACATTTATGCAAATGAAACAGTGATACTCAGAAGGAGAATTAACTTACATTTATATAAAAGTAAACTAAGTTAAAATCACATTGTAATGAATATGCATTTATGCTTTTTCTAGTAATTATTGCACACACATACGTATATAGAACTCTGCTTGTATGATAGAGTGCTCTTTCTCTTAGTTAAAAAATGATGGATTGTCCTTGATGAAACTATAGCACTTGCTTTTGAAATATGGCTTTCAGTTGTCGTGTTTTCAAAATGGTGTCTCTACAAACATGAAAAACCTTACAATGCTGTTGAAAAAAACATTTATTAAAGTATATTTACATTCACCTTTTGCTTACATCTGTTGAAATGACATGTGTGCATGCATTTTCAGGACAGACAGAAACTGACTATTAGTATAACAGATTCTACTGAACATTATCTATGGCCTGTTTTTATATGTATTATATGCACTTAAAATATATTTTAACAGAATGATTTGCAAAAAACAGAAAACAATAATTCCAAATCCTATAAATATAATCCAGTTATATATATTATATATATATGCTATACTGGAGTATGTTTATAAAAGACTTTCTGCAACATTACTAACTATTTCTGGTACAGTCCTCATTACAAAGCCTGCCAAGCAATTAACAGCTTATCAAAGTTTTTAAAAAGCTCTAACAGTAGGTCATAAAATAACACAAGTTTATTTGTTGCTAGTATTAAGTATAGTAAAGTTTAGCTCCAAGCAAACAAAAACAGAAAAACTTATACAAGTTACAGTGTTAGTTTATCTCTCTATCAAATACAGGCTGTACTTAATAAAGGCTTAACTAATGTTAGGAATAAGATAAGTGGACTTACAGATTTCAGTGTCTACGATTAATTATTTTGTATTATTATAGGAATCCTATATTTATAGAAGTACTGTTCCAATAAAGATAATAATTTGACTGCAAATGTTTTGAAGGTATCTGTTTGTAAGTTAGTAAATTACACTTCCAAAATTTTCCAACTTTTAATTAATAAAATTATATTTTGTGTGTGTGTGTGTGTGTGTGTGTGTATATATATATGTAATACTGCTGTTATTTTTAGAATGAATATTTTAACCATTACACCAGATCATACTGACTGGTGTCCCTCCAAAGGCTCCCAAAACAAAAACTTTGTTGAATAACTGAAACACAGGTATTCTACAGTTATCAGTGTGATCAAACATTAATTTAGAAGAGAAGACAGAACAAATATGTATAATTTAAGTCTTTCAAAAAATTATCAAATTTACCAATTTCAAAAGTTAACAAATATAGAGGAGAATGATATTTATTAATGTGAAGATCATCAAATTTCAGTGAAACTTTAATTATATTTTCATTATACAATGTAAACATGCAGATGAGATTTGTTCATTATCATTACCTTATGAGCAAAAGATTGAGAAGAATGGACCAGAACAGGTGACTTCAATTCTTTTTTCTCATCTTTGGTGTCTTCCTTTTTAATGACATTGAGTTCATCTTTTTTCTCTTCTTTTACTTCTTTTTTCACATCTTTGATTTCTTTTTTCACTTCTTTAGATACATCTTTCTTTAAGTCACTTACTTCTCTTTTAATATCTGCAACTTCCTCTTTTTTCTCTTCTTTTACTTCTTTCCAGATATTTTGTTTTCCTCCAACTTCCCTTTCTAAATGGTAGTTATAACATGAGAAAACTAATATCAGTAACTAGTAATTAGAAACTTCTACTATATATAAAATTCTACTTTATTCTTCTCTTCTATAGCACCACATATAAAACATTCTCAATTTATAATATTTTGGTAATTGCTTGTAAAGATCCTTATTCTTTTAAGATCTCTTAAGAAGTTACATATCAGTGACAGCATATCCATACTGATTTCTAAAACAAAAGTTGACAAGACACATTACTAGAAAAAGCCAAAATTAGACAGTACAAGAATCAAAACTTTCTTATGAAAAGTTAATCAAAAATCTTTTGAAAACTATGTAAACTTATGAAAGGTAGCTTCAATTGAAATACATTTAAATGTAAGATTTTTGTCCAATGAAAACAAAAATTAAATACACAAGATAAAAATTACAAAATAAATAAATAACATATTATTGCTGGAAATTTTCTATTTCAACTTGATTATCTTCAGCAGCTATAAAAAAAATACAGGTCATTATATTGTTGTACTATAATGAGACAAAAAGAAGTTATGACAAACATGAAAGGAAATTAATTGTTATTAAGATAAACTAATAAAAATGTTCTTTATAATCAAGTAGTAGTGGCTGGGATAAAGACAGTAGCTAACAATAAAATTATAAACCACTGGATGAAATTACAATGAGTGACAATAGACTTAAAATAAGATCCAAAACTCGAGTGCTTTCGATTAGTTGCTATTCTTCTTCGGTAGAACAAAGGATGACCTTTAGCCTGCGCAATGCAATATATACTAGGAAGTGTGACGTCACGTAAACCGGAAGTCCCAGTTGAGTTGCATCTGGTGACCAGCCAAACACAACTCAAATGTTAGTCTCCTGGGAGAAAAAAAAAATTATTAATTTTCATTATGCATGAAACTTTTGACTGATAGAGAAATATAAAATACATAGGAAGATGAGAGCTAGAGAAAATAATAATTTAAATCGAGCCCATAACACAAACAGAGAAAAATCAAGGGAGGAAGATAGACAACTCAAAACATGTGTGAGAACTTATGTTGATTGGTTCTATCTCAATCCAAAACCCAGCCGTGGGGTACCAGCAGCTGTGCAGGGGTAGGATGAGGGCTCCCAACTGAAGGGGTGCATTGCATTTTGATGTATCACTACTTCATAATTATACATCTCAAACAGGAGAACAGTACGTCACCTACACTCGCAGAACACCACCGCCCTACTCTGCACTGAATGGTTATAGCCCTCTTTGTGTGGAATCCATTTAAAAGAGTGCCTCCATGGTCGACCACACCAGTGGCTTGGAACTGGAAAGTGGGAAGGACTCCCATACTCCACTAGAAGAAAAGAGATTGAAAAGGTGGCGGATAGTCCGGACAAACGTCATCACCTGAGACAGTGCAATGGGTGAGCATGAAACCCTATTTTGAAAAGCAAATCATACCGAGCTATTCATTACATGCATGGCAGGGATGGGCAGCTCTCCCCTTCTGCTTTACCCATGCAGTTCAAGGGTGGTATGGCCTGGGACGTGCATGTTTATGTAGCAAAATATCATGAGGTTATTTTCCTACAAGAGATCTTGTGGAACACCCATCTCAACGGTGAGCATTGTGAACCATGGAATATAAAGTGCAAATCAACATGGCTATACAATACAGATTTCAAATTAAATAATACCTAGTCAGGCACCACTTGCCACAGAGTGGGATCCATATAATGAGAAATGAGGAGAAAGATCACACCTAAGTCTGAAGAATGGCCACAGATGGTGGAAGACGAAAACCATATGAAGAAAAAACCATGATATGATGTAGATAATCCAATGGATGATGAAGATGAGAAGTGAGGGAAAAGGTAACGTTTCTAATTTGATAAGAGACATGGAAAAAATTCTGGGAAGAGTGAGGAATAGGAATTACAGAAAGTTGTTTGTTTGAATTTCACGCAAAGCTACACAAGGGCTATCTGCACTAGCTGTCCTTAATTTAGCTGTGTAAGATTAGAGGGAAGGCAGCTAGTCATCACCACTCACCGCCAACTCTTGGGCTACTCTTTTACCAATGAATAGTTGGATTGACCATCACATTATAACGCTCCCACGGCTGAAAGAGCGAGCATGTTTGGTGTGACAGGGATTCGTACCTGCAGATTACGAATCGAGTGCCCTAACCACCTGGCCATCCAAAAAGAAAGCTGTACGGGCAATATAACAAAGAAGAGTCCTGACTGGACACAGAAGCCAAACCAAATCCAGGTGAGAGTAAAAATGAGAAATGGAAGAGAAATAGGCAAAAAGGAGAAGCTACCCTCCCAAGCCACCGAGGTCTTTGGGAGGAAGAAACAATCTGAATAAAGGAGATGACAGGTAAGATGATAAAGTGTATGTGAAACATCAATGACAAACAAATCCATCCACAGGCTAAGAGGAGAAGGAAATATGTTTTGATGGGAAGGTGAAACATGGAACAGGAGGAAAGTGGTTCAAATGGAGATAAAGTGAGGGAATGGAGTACCACAGGGTGATGCAACTGGAAGGAAAACAGTAGCATGATAAGGACAGGTGAAGTAAAAACTCTATGGTATTGAAAAAAATGAAAGGTATGAAATAAAGCTACCCAATAACCTGAGACCGAGGACCCCCAGTTAAAAAGTCAAGGGAGAAATTCTGCCATTTGAGCCACAGTAGGCCAGTCAGTGGTAAATCCCTGAATTGTAAACCAACTGCGAAACACCTTCCACTTGTGCTGATACATCTTCATGGAAGAAAGACTTATGGAACCAGCTAAAAACAAAGCGACTCAACATGCAAAACCATATCTCCTTGCCAAGGACTAGATAAAAGCCAGGCATGAAGATGCAGGATGTAAAGGGTGGGATGTAGGACCAGTGGCCAAGGTTGACGAAGAAGGTAGGGAGATGACAGAAAAGGTACAGGAGGGGAGAACAGCAGGTGCTATAGCTGCAGAAACCATGACTGAGCTGGCCAATAAAGAGCAATCAGAAGGACCTGACAAGTAGTGGTATGGATGAGAGAGATCACCCAGTGAAGTAATCTGATAGGAGGATAAATATAAAGATATTTGAGGGACCAATCTTGGCTGAAGGCATCCACTGCCAGAGCCTGAGGATGAAAGAACGGCAACCAAAAGAGAGGTAACTTGTGATTGAGGCTCATAGCAAAGGCATGCACATGGGGAGTACCCCACCATGTGCAAAACTACCTGAAAACAAGGAGATCTAAGGACCACTCTTTCGAATAAATCCAGTTAAGGCAGGAAGGGCGATCCACAATAAAATTGAAAGCACCTGGTACATGACACACAATGAGATAATGTGTTGTGTGTGGACCCAGTATAAGAGATCCCAAAACATAGATCTCCCAACTGGGTACCCCCTTGATGACTGATATGTGCCACCACTGTAAAATTATCTCAATGAACCATCATCAGACAATGGTGGTGAGAAGAAGGAAGTGATTCAATGGCTGACGTACAGCAAGAAATTCAAGAACATTGATATACAAAGATTCTTAATCCACAGACCAACAGCTTGAAGCTTCCTGGTCGTTGACCCATGCACCCCAGCCCCACAGGGAAGCATCTGTGAAAAGATGTAGATTCAGACTCAGAGGAGGAAGTGGCATGCCCGCTGAAGCATGTGCCTTGTGTCCAACCACTAAAGCAGTTCATCTTGCAGGGTAAGAGGAAGGGTAATGGGAGTAGAAAGAGGATTCTACGCAAAGTTCTATTAATCATAAAAAGCCCACTGAAGTGATCTCATATGGGTATGACTGAGAGGAACCAGTGATGTCATTGAATATCGCATCGCCAAATATGACAGAACCTTGCAAGCAGTAAGCAATGTAACCAAGAGGGCATGATGAACTAACAATTTCATAGAATGAAGAAGAAGGCTGGGCCCGACTGATACGAGTGTGGAAAAGGACCCCCAAATAGACGAGATATTGAGTTGGTCTGAAGAAGGACTTCTCCAGTTTGATTAATCAGACCACTCGAGTAGCCACTAAAAGGAGCTGCCAAGTATGGCTGGCCGACTCCAATTCAGAAAGAGCCAGAAGAAGCCAGTCGTTCATGTACTAGTGAAAACTCAACTGCAGAACATGAAGATGTTGAGCAAATGTTTGGACTACCTGAAAGAAAACATAAGGGGCCAAAGCAAACCCGAATGGTGGTGCTTGAAATTGGTAAACCACCCGGTAATGGACAAACCGAATATGAGGACAAGATTGAGGTGAATAGGTATATGGAGATAAGTGTTGGCGACATCCATTTTGGTCATCCATAAATCCAGAGAAAATGCCACCTCAGGGTGAGAAAAGACTCCATGATAAACCAGGGTTGATGAATGAAGAGGTTGAGGCGAGATAAATCTCTGACTGGAAACAACAAAATATCGGGAATTTATCAGTTTACCAAGTTCAAAAAAATTCATAAAAGTTAAATACTTGTATCTATCAACTCAAGTTTCTGTACTTTCAGTGTAAAGAAAAAAAAAAAAGAAGAAATTTAATCAAAACTGGAGATTTTATATCTTGTGTATTTCTTAATGGATTGCCTTGAAATTTTGTATGTGAAGTAAGGTTCCAGTAGAGCACATCCACTGAAAATCTGTGATAGTTTGCATTACCACAGTCAGAGCTACAGAAAGTGGAAAATTGATAAACTAACACTCCTGTTAATAACACACAGTGTTTCCTGTAAGTTGTTTTGGCTACATGACACACTACCATGCATCTTAAAAGATTTACTTTCAAGTAATTATAATACTCTGTCAATCCTTTCTTTTATTTCATTCCCATAAACCTTTTCTTTGGATGTGTTTACCTAAACTGTTACTTGTGGTTAAATATACCTCTTCAACCTTATCTATATTAAAGTCTTTTCCTTCCCATAATTATTTTATTAGGCTATTATTTTGTAAATTTATGTTTATTATTTTCCTGTGTTAACATTTCTAAATCCAATTTTAGTTGTTCTAATTACTTCTTGATAATTTTAATAATATTTATGTAATAAGTTCAACAATGTTTTTATCAGTTGTTTTATCACTGTGCTCCTAATGAATGTGTGTAATTAGAATTTTTGTTTCTTCCTACCTTTTAACAACTATTTTTGAGCCTAATTCACTTGTAATATGGTCTTTACTGAAGAAGGGCATTTGATTGAAATGTCAGAGAAAATAAACTAGAAAAAGTTTTCACTTGGACATGTCAGTATACTATTTATTACTTTTATCACAGTTTTTCTTCTTACATCTTGCAGAAAAACACTCGTTCAAGAATGTGCTACATACAAGGTTTGTTAAGAAAAAAAACCTCTATAGGTGTGGGAGATAAGTTGGCTCATTGGATTGAAAATTGCCTGAATGGAAGAAAGCAGAGGCTTGTTATAAATGAAATTCAGTCACACTGGAATAACTGTAAATTTAAGTGAGTGTACCCAAGTAGCCCCTTGCATAACCAACAAAACAACACGAGTAAACTTGAAAGTGGCATAACCCCTAGGACATTCAAAGTGAATATCAAAAGTTGTTTTTAATCTAAGTTAATTTTTTTTCACTTTCATATGATATTAGTAACTGTAGCTATTATTGTCAACTTATACTATATAGTCTATGGTACATTTTAACAAAATGTTTAAAATTAAGACATAGTAAAAATGTACACAACTCTTAATAATTGGTGAAATAATCTTAAAACATCTTTTAATTGCGTATCTTTACATTATCACATATAATTTATTATCCTTTCCTGTCCTTTAGCACTGTTATTTATCGCAACACACAACAATGGACATCCCCAGCCAATATTATGATATAGTAGGCAGAGAAACTCCAGCCTTCAGCAGAATGTGGTGTCATTTGCATATTATACTATCTCTTGTGAACTACGCAGGCATTGGATTATGTAAAAAAAAAAATATTAAACCTTTCAAATAAGCATCTTAAAACATAACACACACAATTAAGTAAAATATATAACTAAAACAATGCAACTGTCTATCTAACGTATTTCTAATTGAGAAATAATGCTAAAGTGCCAAAGACAAAGCAGCAACAATGCTAAGAGCAGTTTAATTGGTTCTCTGTATAACTCTTCATGCCAATTTTAAAACAACAGTTAAGAGGACATACTTCAAAATACTCTTTCCATTGGTTATAAACATCCAGTTCAACTAAGTATTAGCTGATAAATCGCAACTCAATGATAGAAAGTGGGTGTAGCATCTGTCAAGAGTTCAGAGAAATTTATTTTTTCTTTCTCTGAATGTGCCCTAAGCAACTTAAAAGAAGAATGTGTAAACAGAGCATTTAATGTAAGTTCTTTCTATATATGGAAGGTTAGCGTGAGTCAAGAACTGTTCAAATTACAAACACACAAATTTAACATTTTGTGCACTTGTGGATCATGAGAGAATAAAGCAAAACTTTAAGAAGTTTTATTTGAAACAAAAGAATTAAAACTTAGATAATATAAAACTTTGAACTAAAATGTAAATTTTAATGTTGATTTCAATGACAAACATTGATCATAAATTAGCTTAATTAAATTTTAAATGTAACTAAGTAAACTCTTGTGACATGCACAGAAAAGGGTCACTGTAAGAAAGGATTTAAGTAATAAGTGAAGGTATCATAGGGTTGTGTTTGGACCTTTGCTCTTTTTGATTTACATCAGTTGCATAGATGAAGGAATGGTCAATAATTACTCATATATGTTGATCATATTAAGGTTTTTGATGTTGCTAGCTCTAATGAAGATGCTACTGCTTTACAAAAGGATTTAGATCACTGGTAGGTTGGGTTAATAAATGGCTTATAATTATAATAAATGCAAGGTAGTGCATGTGCTATGTCATAGTTTAAATTATAAGTAAAATTTTGATCAGAATAACCTTAAGAGCATTACAGAGTATTCTGGTCAAAGAGTCTCTTAAACTATACAGGCAGTGTACCATTGGTAATGGTAGGGTAAATAAGATACTACGTTGTATCTAGAGAAGTATTGAATACAATGCTGAAAAGGTAATAATTTCATTGTATAGGTCACTGGTCACACCACATTTGGAGTACTGTGTTCAGTCTTGGGCTCCTTACCATAGAAAGAACTTTGAATTGTTGGAAAGGATTTAGAGACAGGCCACTAGGATGATACCTGGGATGGAAAGGTCATCATAAAAGGATAGGTCAAGTTCTCTGAAATTGGTTTCTCTTGAAAAAAAGTCAAAGAGGACCTGATTAAGGTGTTTTAGATTGTTAAGGGAGTTGATAATGTCAATGCATCATCTTTTTCATACTTAATAGTAAGAATGGTGAGGCTAGGGGATACATATATACATTTTGGCATCATCTTTTTTCACACTTAATATTAAGAATGGTGAGGCTAGGAGATACATATATACATTTTGGCAGAGCAGCTAATATCCTCAGTTAAGTTTTATTTTTTCTAAAAGAGTAGTTGGTTTTCGGGATGGGATGCCTTCTGATGTGGTGGAAACAGTACATTTAGAAGTTTAAAGGGAAGGCTTGTTAAATATTTGAATGATAAAGACTAGCTCTGAATTTTTTTTCTAAACAGTTTAGTTTAGTATATGGGACAGACTAGATGTTGTTTTATCACTTACCCTTGCTATTACCTTCCTTTTGAAAGTGATTTGATAATTCTAAACAGTGCAAGTGATCAACGAGCACAAAACACTACATATCAAGGAGTCACTTATCGTACATTATCTCAAACCAGAACTTAAATGTTTCATCACTTTCATTAACACAAAAAATTGTATCTTGTCTAGCATACGAAATTATGTTTTGGTTTTTGACTTATTACTATTCTGAGATGGATGACTGGTAAATGATAACAAAAAGAAACAGTATATACTATTAAAAAATATTTTAGATATGTTTTTTAAAAAGTGTGGGCAAAAAGGATAAGTCAAGGTGACACACAGCATAATTATAAAGTGTCTACCTTTTTTGCACTTGGAACATAGCCATTCTTTTCTGTCTTTTTCCATCTTCCGTCCTTTCTGTCGTGTAATTCCAACACAAGACCCATGAAACCATTCTTCACAGCCATCACAGCCAATCATAAACCTTAAAAGGAACAATGTACAATAAAATGTTCTGAAAACCACAATTGTTAAGCTTAATCTATATTTTCAAACATTTTTCACTTTAGTACAGCAATACTTAAAATTTGCATCTGCTTAGATAATATTTGTCATTATATGGAGCTTAAAAACTTTATATTTTATTCATCCAATTTTATTACTTCAAACGTAAGTAGTTCCAAAATGTCACCCCCCACCCCAAATAAGACAAGTCCACCTGTTAAGGGTTTTACAGAGTTGAAAGAGAAAAAATATTTTTCTTAATGTATACCAATTGCAAAACCTTAGAAGACAAAAATATAAATAAGGACATATAACAGCTCTGTATGGTTTTAATCTACGGAAGATGTTTATTTTCACTGACATATATTGAAGGTTCTTTGTGTTTTATAAAAAGGAGGTCCCAAGTTCAATATTTCCCTTGGAACTACTTCCACCCTCATCAAATGTGTGTAGTCTAATGGCTTAATTACCATTATTATTTGACACCACAATTTTCAATGTAACAGACTTCTGCAAAGGATGATATGGCCCATTTCTGATCATATGTCTTGATAAGCTTTCCACAAACTAACTAATTTAAGTGGGTTTAGGCTTTCAGACCCATTTTTAAGCAGACTAATGGCATAAAAGTCCACTGGAGCTGCATCACGGGATTTGAAAGAAATGTGGTTGAATTGGATTGTTCTGATTCCAACAGTCTTTCTCAAGAAAATAGTTATTAATTTTTAAGTTGTGGGCCAAAAGCTTGCAAACCTTTGTCAACATAAAATTCTTGTTTATTATATTTTTTAAGTACCAAGATGCATTAAGTAAGTTTGTAGTGCAAACTGGAAAGTTCTATTAATTGATAAAACGAAAAAAACAAGATATTACTTCAGAAAACATAATTGGTTTTATTTAAGTCAATGTTTCATTATTACAGCTTTGTTGGTGAAACAGGCAGAACTATTAGGGGTTGAATTAACAAACACTTTTGAGCTCTGCATACACTAGATAGTATAGCCAGTGCCGTGGCTGAACATTTTGTTGTCAAACACGGTATAATTGATAATTATTGTCCCGTAACAGCAAACATTCTTACTCACTGCTACAGCTTTTTAGATAGAAAATACAAAGAAGCTCTACTAATTTCGGGGAATAAGCCATATATAAACAAACAATCACCCTGGAATTTTGAATTCTTACTGGTTATATTTAATTAATGTAATAACATATGTCTGCATTAGATAGTATAATCTTGTCCATTTACATGTAATTTTACCTCTAATTTGTTGATGTATCATCAGGCAAAGTCCATCTTACTGTGGAGACTTGTATTATTTTGAAATCTTTTGTGTATGTCTAAATCAGTTAGCAAGTGTCTTGTTTGCCCCGATGAAGCCATAATGGCAAAATATTGGCTTAAATAAAATAAATTACGTTATGTGGAGTAATAGATTGTGTTTTATTTCCCCTTTTACCAAGATGTATGTTCAGCTTCATCACATGACTTCTTGGGTCAAAGAGTTCCCTGCTACATCCATAGCTTTCACTTTGTGAATAAAGGTATTGCTCAGAATTAGACTGGTTTTGGAGCCTACTGCTGTCTTAAACACAATTCTGTGCACTACTTTAACAGAGAGTATTGAAGGTTTCCTTCCACAAAATGGGGTGCCCTTTGGCTTTAGATAGCTTAAAATGTGCATCACATCGTATGCCACCAGTGGTACATTTAATTTTTTCTGTTGGATGTTGTGAGTCACCCATGGTACACAGCACCCATAATATATATCTGCACCTCATATCTCCAAATTCCTATATGAAAGCAATTATTTTGTATGGATGACTATAATAAAGCCACGCCTTTCATCATGTACCACTGGTGGAGCACAGATGCTATAGTGAAAGGACAACTGAAATAAAACAAATTTACATGATTAACTCATTTTTCATTTTAAAATTACATACTAGGCCTGTCAATGTAGTCATTCTGTCATAAAATATAACATAAGGCCATAAAATTAGCAGTATCTAAGACAGTTCACAATGATGCTTTACATTTCTATTACATAATTAGAGAAATCACTTACATCTCAAATGTGTTAACAATTTGGCTGTATGAATACTCTTATTAAAAAGGGATATCACATATTCCTCCAATTATGAGTCTTTCCACATAGCACTGTATTTGTCATAAGCCATATGTTTAGGTGCCAAACATGCTGCCTGTGACATGTCATTACATTAGCATATGCAAATTGTTCTAAAAAGGTGTGTGTGTGTATATATATGTATATACACACACTCACAGAAAGATAAATACAAATGAATCTGTAGGTCAACAGAACTGATTTATTAAGATTGTTGATGGATGTAATAGTTAATTTCAATTTCACTGATTTTCTGATTTACAACTTATAATGGCACAAACAGTAGTTAGACAGGTTCAAAGAGCAATCAGAAGGGCAATAAAACAATAAGATTTAATTATAAGTATGTGTATCCTGTTATGAGTTTAAAGCTACTTAGGATAAATGAATGTAGTTTCATGTTACACTTGAAGTCATTCTAGAAAGAAAATAGGGTAATTTAGAGTTAATTTTTTTTTTGTGATTACGAGATCAGTCAAATGGACCAACCGAGTATAGAGTTAGGGTAGAGAAAATAACAGATAAAATATAATGTTTCACTGAAAAAAAAAAAGAAATATATTTAGGAGGTTTTGAGAGATTACACAAATGAAATTTGAGATTTTTGAGATGAAGAAAAGTATTTTTAATCTTAACATGAAAATCACTTTGCACATGGATCATTCAAAACAAATACTTGATATATTCAAGTGCAAATCTTTTTTATTTAGTTTATTTAAAATACTTCATTAAAAATATGATTTTTTTATTGTGAGAGACTTATAATGTCTACTGAAAGACTTCCAAATTTCATGAAGACATACACATTACATTAAAAGTTAGTAGTATCAAATGTATAAATTCTTTGAACGAGTACAAAGAGGTCGCATGGTCAGTCAAATAGACGGAGCCAGTATTGAGAGAGTTAACCATCATAAAAAAAATAACATTATACCTGTATAAAAATTTATTATTTTTATTTTATTGACCTTTCAGCAGTGTCTCACTAACATTACAGCAGTTGAATGATGTAGTGCACACGCAGTCACATTACCTTATACAATAATATAAAACTGGCCCTGTCTTAGCTGTGTTCTAGTGGACCAGTATTTTGTGTCAAATTGACCAAGCCCATATTGAGAGGGTTAAACATCATAAAAAATAACATTATACATATATAAAAATTTATGATTTTTATTCTATTGATCTTTTAGCAGTGTCTGACTAACATAATAATACAGAAGTTGAATAACGTGGTGCACGTGCAGTCATGTTACCATATCCAATAATATAAAATTGGCCTTTACAAGGTGACCTGTCTTGGTTGTGTTCTAGTGGACCAGTATTTTGTAAAATACAGTCACATTTCAGTTATATTATATATGTATGTACATTATTACTATTTACATATCAGTTCTTAAATTTCAGTTATTTTTCTTAAGACATAGAACAGTAAATAATGAGGCATAGAAACAATTATCAGTTCTAGTTACAAACTTTGTACTCATTTGCTGCTTGCCGTAATTTGCTAAGCCTTATTAAATGTAAAACAAAATAACTTTTTAAGGTTTTTGTATGTGCATTTTAATTAAGAAAAAAAATCATACATTACTATCTCAATACCATGGAATTCTACTATAATTTATCAGGCTCAGTAAATAAGCTGTATTTAGGTCTAAAAAAATATGATTTCTCAATCTCAATAATGTCTTATCTTGCCAATTGAAATCCACTATGGAAAGAAAGGGTTTCCTGTGTAAATACTTCGCAGAGGCTCAGAAAACCAAGTGGGCAACATTCCAATCTTTCGATTGATTATTTATATACAGAAGTAGGTGTACGTAAGCAAGTATTTCCAAAAATGGAAATAGTGGGTGGGGCCATTGTGTTTGTTTCAATACATGTAGCGATATATCAGCAAACAGAAAAGATAGGAGGTTCTTATATTCTACCTTTTCAATATTGGTAACTTGAGTTTCTAATTAGTAAGAAACTATAGACATTGTATTGTATTTGGACATCACAAACATCTAATCTGAACCAATGCTGCATTCAACATACCACGTGACACAAAAAAAATCAATATTTAGGATTTGTTTTAATATTTACTTTTAAATTAAGAAATTAACTGTTGTATAATACTAAAATTTGAATTATAATCTACAATTTGATACCAAATGTATTGACATACATTCATAAACTAGTAGTTCAATAAAATTTTGTCTACAAATGCGATGACATCACCTTTGACTCGTGATCATAGGAAGACCCATCTCATTAGGGTTAATAGGTGAACAGGAAACTATTATGAATTATGAGTTTCATTATCAGGAAATAAGAAAAGTATCCCAAGCATTAATGAATATCACTAAAAAATTAATACATGTTAAATAGAACAAACTAAAATCCATAAAGCAGGAGCCAATATGTTAGTTTTCAATTCAATAATTCAAAATAATTTGCAACAATTAGCTTTTACAGTAGGAAGCAGTAGAACAAAACTGGCTAAACTGGTACAAGCATTTTATGCAGCTGCAGGTAGAAATTTAAGTTCTTACTTCCTACTCCTGAGTAAACTGGAAAAAGTATTACATGAAATTACAGCTTGTGATCCCCACATGTTGATGGGATTTAAATGTATCATTCATGGGCTGACATGAAGACATCTGCAGTAAGAGATACACTGTGTATGTTTATAGAGATACCCTTAAAGGCAACAAACAGAATGTTTAAAATATACCGAGTCATACCTTTACCACTGGCATTAAATAATTCATTAGCATCAACTATAGACAGTGAGAAGCCTATATAGTTGTTTCAAATGATAAACACATATATATAGAATTGTCTGAAGAGGATTTGTTAATGTGTA